TTTGCGTATCAGCGCGGATTTCACAACAGTAGCGTAATTTTTGTAAGGAGAGATATCTATACCTATAGAAGAAGGTAAAAAACATAACTAATCTATGAAGAGAGTATAAAGACAGCGCGTTAATAGAGAGATCGTATCCCAACGATGAGGTACCACTCTTTTCTTGCGGCAGGGGGGATTTGCGTTACCCAGGGAGGGACGTTACCTGATTTTTTCTGAAAAAGTGTGGTATCTATCACATGAGGCAACGTTGCATTACCATGATTCATCCAATATTCTACTGATGGCGAACCGAAAGTACACAGCCATATCTCAGGCTAAAGAAGCCCGTAGAGAGTACAATATACTCGCACAGCAAAGATATAGAGAGTATGTGTTCAATTCGTGCCCGTTCAATGTAACTCAAGAGCGTTCTGACTTTCACATAGGAGGCTGAAATTGCGAAGACAGGTCTCACAGGATTCACCTTCAGACGACCCAATGAGAGATGAGACAGAAGCGGAGGAAGAAGAAGAAGAAGAAGGGGAAACGATCGCAGTCGCACCTCTAGTGGAAAATACACGAGAAGCCTTGACCGAGAATGTCCGAGGAGAGAGGAGCTAATCAGATCCTCTTCGTGCCTCACTTGCCCCATTGGAACATGTGACTAGTATTGATCAAGCGCTTAACGAACTCTTGGCCAGCATTGAAGACCCATGCGTCCAGAAATCTTTACAGGATCCGATTGCGCGCATCGATTCCAGATTCAAAGATCTTGTCAACCGGGTGCACCGAAAAGAGCAGCTTGTTATGCCCACAATCCATTACAGTCCACATGCGTCGGCTGCAGTTTGTAACAGAGAGCACAACATGTTGGCAGATACGATCGCATCACTCAGCACACAGGTATACAGGTACCGTGCCCATCATATGAATCTCACAGAAATCAAAAGTCTCAGCGCACAGTTAATGCAGGTGGCCATGTTTCCTAAAAATATCCACACGATATGCGACGCTTCTACAGTGATTAGCGATTGCGGCTTCACCTCTGCAAGCAGCATCCCCAAAGTCAAGTCATCTTGAGATCAAGAATCAGCCAATCACGTTGATTACTCTGCAGCTGACTTCTCATGCTAAGCTATGAACGGAAGGTGGCGTTGTTCAGAATCGCTGGACCGACGCTGCTACCGCTTCGAAAGTGACTAGTGTGGGCGACGCCTACGCGGATGGGATTGGCTTGCGTTGAAGCAGACATGAAAGACATGGACACTTACAAAATGGGCGCTTTGTAGACCCACATCTATGCGCACGCCCGCATGCATGAACGGTCACGTGGATCATGTGGATTAGGGTGATTGCCTGCAAGGTAATCTGCAGAACGCCCTGCTTAACCCGACTTCAACATGAACCATAACTGGTAATCTGAGTGTGCGCTCTTTCTATCAGACTCCGCCTGTTATCGCAGCGAGAATATCAGTCCTACCTCTCAGGTCTTCTGGTTCAAAGTGGGCACACACCAGGACGATGCCTTGCTTGCGCCACTCGGAATCGCCGTCGTCTCGTTTTCTGCGTCTTTGCGGCACAGCCTCGCACAATCAAGGGTTGCTTGTGTGCAACCCGTGTGCATGCACGTGCTGTCCATTGTGTCGGTAAATAAGGACCTGCAAGCACGCGGAGTAATTGTTGCATATGGTCTTGGCAACGTTGCCTGCCTAGTAAGATAAGCGTGGAAGCCTCGCTTCGACAGTTTCGGTCCGGGGGCCGCGCGCTTGTACCGCCACTCATATGCTGTACGAATGAAATGAATTATGGGCCTTGTGCCGCACATTGTCCTGAGACTTGCCTGTCCTAGATTAATCGATGGTACTGGAGACGCGCTAACCCCGTGCATATTTACCTTCGTGATCCTGATTACCACCGCGATCATCAGGGTGCTGCGCCGCATTATTGCAGCAACCTGCTAGGTGCTTCCGCGGTGCGTCACTAACTGTGGAAGAAGAGAAGTAGACATGGTCAGGCTGCTAAGGCGGCACAAGCAGAAATTTCGGAAGCGTGCAAACGTTCCATTATGCCGTCACCTAGGCCAACCCGTCGTTCTAGACGTACACAAAGAGATTAACAGGCGTCTGCTTTGGTTGGATTTTCATCTACGGCCCCCAGATGGGTTTAGGTTTTTTCCTCGAACAGTCCTTCATTAGGACCATGCATATGTCCACTAGTTTTCCAGTAGCGCGGTGCATATGTTTTAGGGTCGCAACAGCCGGCTTTCTAGCCATGTCTTCACAAACAAGCGCAGTGAGTAGCGAGTACTACTTCCTAAATTCCACAGTAAGGATGCTTTCGGCGCAAGGTAGTTGCCGTGCTCACGCGTCAGCCGTGATTCATGGGAACGAGGGTCAAAGCCTCAACTAGATGCCTACAAGCAGCGCAGAACATGAACAATCCCCAATCGGCACAACTAAATACTCATAGAAGCATGGTAACCGCCTAAAATTGATTCTTATAGCTTCCTAAAGGCTTATACGAGTCTGTGTATAAACGATTGAGCTGCTGAGATGCGTCGCCTCGTCAACTGCTTATTTGTCCTTAATCCCCAAGGATACACGGCTCACGCTATACGAGCGAGGTGTGCCGAGTCCGGCGATGACACGCCAAGATGACTTCCAGGCGACATGGGGAAAGGTGTTCAGTGAATGAGACGCTGTGAGGAGCGATCAATCGTTGCACTTCTCTTTCTACAAAATAGTGAGCTGTGCACACACTGCTTCTCGGGTGAAAAGCATTTGCATCACCGGTAAGCAGCATGGAAGAGCCTGAATGAAAATCAAACAGAGGTGTCATCTGTCATCAACTTAATAGCAAACAGCTGATGCGTATAGCGATGTTTGCAGTCCCAGGGCCTGGTATATGAGAGTGCGGTCATTCCTAGTGAAGCAAGCAAGCTCACAAGGCACTCTACAATGATCAAATCTACTGCTTTGCTAATTGTTAGCGCTCTGTGGGGTCTTAGTGAAGCTCAATTCAATGATGCATCTGCGGCTTCCGTCGTTGAGCAATATTGCTTTCCCAAATCAGGGGCCCCGTTCTCTACAGACACTCTACAGCCCTCTGTCACAATGATGTATAGCGGCATGACACTCACTACTGCTCCACCGAACACCAACTTTGTGATTTTATGGTACCCTTCAAA